TTACCACTGAAAGAAAAATTTTAAAGGAATGCCCATGCCCTTACTACTAGATTTGGGTGTACCGATTTGAAATGTAACAAAGAACATATTTGCAAATATTGCTAATATGTGAGACGAAGACTTGATCAACCTAAGATTGTAATACTCCACAAAAACTAGGCCATTAGCAAACTGGGTGTTCATGTTTAGATGTCAGGAGTTTTCTTACATATTTCTTAAGACATCTACCTCATTAATTGCTAAAATTAAGTATGTAATGCAATTTATCATGGGTTTTACAAGTGCAAAACAACTTATCCCAGACATGAGAAATCATAATGAGAGAAGAAAGCAGAGTAAGTATCGCATTAATATTCGACAATACCTAGAGATGCAAACCAATTCTCTATTGGGGACCAATCTTTAATAGCGGATAGAATTAGGTCTCCCGGAATAGTCGGTACCAATAGGGAGCGGACACCAAGTTATCAAAAAAAAAAAAAAAGGGGCATATGCATCTATATTAAAAATATTATTATTTTATTGTTCTATTATACTTTTTAGTTTTTGGGACAATGAGCAATATTGCAGAGATACACGTAAATATGCATTCATCATTATACACAATCTCACACAAGAATTGCATAGTGTACTTACACCTCAACAACTGGGATATCAAAGGGTTTGAAGCTTTAGTGATTATCACTGTCAAAGTGTTTTTAATAAATAGAATTGGATATTCTTGCGTACCTATCTCGTCTCAATGTGTCCACTAGTGTGCATTTCAGGATTTACTATCTGTAATACCTACTTTCTAGTATATCCAGCCCCTAAATTCTCTACTTCTTCTCTTCATCAACTCCCATTTAATTTGAAATTTCTAAATAATTTACAACATCTATATAAAAATATTATACAATATGCAACAGATATATACACACACACAAAAGACATGTCCATATACCTATACCCAACTTTGGTTGAATATTCCAATATCGTAAAATTTAAGATTCACGAAGTTTGTCGTTTGGACCCAAACCCGCATCCACACCTAATACTTGTATCGGAGTCCACATAACATGGTCAGTGACTATTGTTCTTATCAATTCGAGAGCACCGAGTCGGCATGCTGAGTTGGTGCTCCATGACAATTGAATAAATTACTCAAGAATAGATAATGCATATATAATAAAGAACCTCTTCCTTACTTATGAAGAGGTGTGAGAAAGGTTCATAGCAATACACCATGTAAGTTGATCCATCCCCATATAGCTGATGAAGTTCTATTGAACTTCTAGAATGGAGGATCTTAGCAAAGATGAGTCAACTATTTCGGCGAGCATGCAATATACAGATTTCCCAATTCACAGATACTTTGAAAAGATAATCATGTCCGTATTGTATTGAATCACGGATACTTCAAAAAGAAGTTCGTATCTATATCAATGCTCTACGTATCTAACCTATCTTAAAATTAATGAGGCATTTATTGCATAACACTAGAGTAAAATTGTAAGAATCAGTGAATTCACTGCTTTACCTTACAGTGAGCATGCCCTTTTTTTGTGGGTATATGCAGATGGATTGTCAAGTCATGTGACTTGGTGCACAGACTTTGGTTTTCTCAATTTTTTGCTCGACTTTTTTTATTACAATGACAACTCATTTCTTATTAATATATGTGGGATTCTCAATGCAGAAAGTCACATGGCAACAGTGAATTCACTGATTTACCTTACAGTGAGCATGCCCTTATTTTGTTCATATATGCAGATGGATTGTCAAGTCACGTGACTTGGTGCACATGCTTTGGTTTTCTCAATTTTTTGCTCGATTTTTTTATTACAGTGACAACTCATTTGTAATTAATATATGTGGGATTCTCAATGCAGAAAGTCACATGGCAACAATGAATTCATTAATTTACCTTACAGTGAGCATGCCCTTATTTTGTCCGTATATGTAGATGGATTGTCAAGTCATGTGACTTGGTGCACATGCTTTGGTTTTCTCAATTTTTTGCTCGATTTTTTTATTACAATGACAACTCATCTCTTATTGATATATGTGAGATTCTCAATTTAGAAAGTCACATGCCAACACTGAATACACTGATTTACCTTACAGTGAGCATGCCCTTATTTTGTCGGTATATGCAAATGGATTGTCAAGTCATGTGACTTGGTGCACAGACTTTGGTTTTCTCGATTTTTTGCTCGATTTTTTTATTACAGTGACAACTCATTTGTAATTAATATATGTGGGATTCTCAATGCAGAAAGTCACATGGCAACAGTGAATTCACTGATTTACCTTACAGTGAGCATGCCCTTATTTTGTCGGTAAATGCAGATGGATTGTCAAGCCATGTGACTTGGTGCACAGGCTTTGGTTTTCTCAATTTTTTGCTTAATTTTTTTTATTACAGTGACAACTCATCTCTTATTGATATATGTGGGATTCTCAATTCAGAAAGTCACATGGCAACAGTGAATTCACTGATTTACCTTACAGTGAGCATGCCCTTACTTTGTCGGTATATGCAGATGGATTGTCAAGTGACGTGACTTGGTACACAGTATTTGCTTTACTCTGTTTTTTCATTCTAGTGACAACTCATACCTTGTTCGTATATGTGGGATTGTCATGCAGAGGCATCTTTCTAAAGCCGTTCATAACCAACTATATAAACAACTAAAGGTGAAGACACAACCTTACAACTCATTTCGCCCTACGAAATTTTCATTCATTTGTTTTAAAAAATTAGCATGGCTACATGGTTCATGGGAGGGAGTGGGAATCGCAGAGGTGGTAGGAACTTGCAAATGGGTGATAGTTCACGACGAGGAGGGGGAAGACGAAGTGGCGATGTTGAAGATGAAACACCATTTCCTTTGTTAGATGCCTCTTGTTCTTATCATGATAGGTTTGAGAAGCGACATTTTGTCATGCCCAAGTACTATCGAGATCCATGTGGTTTGGTGGAGGATCCATCAGATAATCAAACAGGATATGGTTTAGCAAATGCTAGACTTCTGAAGTGGCCCGCACTATTTATAGAGCGAGTGCAAATGGAAAGATTATGTCGCGAAAATCGACTGAAGGTGCCAAAAGCACGTTCTGTTGAGATCCAAAATGAAGATTCTGATAATGTTGATCGACTATGTGAAAGACTACAACGTGAGATTTCTCAAATGGGCTGTAGGTTAACCCGCGATATGCAGCTACACATAGTTAAGAAGGATGCCCAGAAGAACAGAACAGAACAGAACCAAATGTTGCGGCTATCAAGGGTATCATGGAGAATCCTGAACTTGTCTCTGACGCTGAGCTTTCGGATTATTCAGACTCTGACCCACCTGCCGATTTAAGCACGAATTAGGTGTTAATGTCTACACTTCGGCAATATTAGGTCATGCATTAATATGTAATGTCTTTGTTAGAGTAAGTGTTTCCATAATGAGTTTGTCAGATTGTCTTGCTAATATTTGTCTGTCTAACTGTTATGTTTATCTATGTATTGTGTGTTCAGTTCATGGTGTCCACAATGTATTGTTGTCCGAGACTTATGTCTGTACTACCTATGTATTTTTGTGGGAGACTTATGTGTTTTTTCCTTAAGGTTTTATGAATTACATTATCACCTTCTAACCCAAAACAAAGACAACAGGAAAAAAAAATTATTTAAATGAAAACGGCTTTAATAGAGCCAAAACAAATTTCTGAATAACACATTTTAACCCAAAACAAAGACAAGAGAAAAAAATAAAAAATAAAAAACTTTACATGAAAACGGCTTTAGTAAAGCGAAAAGAAATTTATGAATTACGTTATCACATTCTAACCCAAAACAAAGACAACAGGAAAAAAAAAAATTTATTTACATGAAAACGGCTTTAGTAAAGCCAAAACAAATTTCTGAATAACACATTCTAACCCAAAACAAAGACAAGAGAAAAAAATAAAAATAAAAAACTTCACATGAAAATGGCTTTAGTAAAGTGAAAAGAAATTTATGAATTACCTTATCACCTTCTAACCCAAAACAAAGACAAAAGAAAAAATATATATATTTAAATGAAAACGGCTTTATTAAAGCCCAAACAAATTACTGAATAACACCTTCTAACCCAAAACAAAGAAAAAAAAAATTTACATTAAAACGACTTTACTAAAGCTCAAAAAATTTATGAATTACATAATTACCTTCTAACTCAAAACAAACACAAGAAAAAACAAAATAAATTTACTTTAGTCAAGCAAAAAAAAAATGTTGAATTACACATTCTAACCCAAAATAAAGATAAAAGAAAAGAAAAAAAATTAACATGAGAACGGTTTTAGTAAAATAATTGTAACCCAAAAAATTATTCTGAAATACATTATCACCAAAACAATGACAACAGAAACAAAAAAAAAAAACCAAAAAAAAAAATTTATGCTAAAAGCGTGGTTCATAATCACGATTTCAGGAAAAAAAAATTTGGCCAAAAAAGCGTGTTCCAAAGAATGAGTTCAGAAGAAAAATGTTTTTTTGATAAAATCGTGGTTAGGAAAAGCGAGTTCAGAAGAAAAATATTTTTTGATAAAATTGTGGTTAGAAACAGCGAGTTTAGAAAATTTTTTTTTTGGTTAAAATCGTGGTTTGGAACAGCGAGTTCAGAAGAAAAAAAAAATTAATTAAAAGCGCGTTTTGTAACCGCGATTTCTTAATCAAAAGCGCGTTTTGTAACCACAATTTTAAGATTTTCCGTCTCCCACGCGAGAGAGGCGTATATATGTTGAAATCGTGGTTCACATCCGTAATTTAGCTTATTTTAATTTTTTTTTCAAAATTAGTCTTAGTTTGGGAATTGACTTACTATTTTAGCTTATTTAGGGAAATGCCCCGTAACCAGTAGCACTGGGCTTGGTTTCGTAATATAAAACGATATCGTTTCGGGAGCTATGTCTTTCTTCTTCAATACTGCCCTACAGATACAGTCACTGAACATTCCAAGCTTCTACAAAGGTGTACGTCCATTGCCAATGTCATCGGCGACCATTTATATATCTCTTTCAGTTTACTGTTCATTTGTAATTTGTGTTTCAGTTTTTTTGTTGAAATCTTTCTTGATTGCGAACTTTGATTCAATGTTTTTAGGAACTTTTGAGATGGGGAACACTAAAACAGAAATCAACTTGATGAGGTTACTCGCAGCTTCACCTCATCAACAAAATCAATCAAAGCTCATACATGTATGTCTGATCTATTCGGTATGGTTATATATTTGTTTTATTTTTGGCTCCAATTACGATTCATGCCTCTGCAAATCTCACTCTATGTTTATATTTTAATCGTTTTGAAGTTTTTATTACATTTATTTATTTAGAAAGGAGTTTCTATTAGATTATTAATCAAGTTCAGATTTAATTTCTTTGATGAATTATTTCGCTCTAATTCATTGTAGGATGCCTGCTGTTTTTTTTTTAAGGCTCTGTTTGTTTCGACGTTTAGTTGAGATCAAGACTGACCCGTTCAGTTCGGCCCATGGGATCCATTTTTGGGGCTGTTTTGATAATCTGAACCGTGCAATGTGTAGAACTCGTCGAGTATTACATGTCTGTAAAAAATCACGTTGATTGGATATCAATAGCTATGTGATCAAATCAGTTTTGTATATAAAAAAAATGGACGGTGAAAAAATTAACGGTTGATAAAAAACTGTTTTGTTCACATAGCTATCGATATCCGATCAACGTGATTTTTTACAAGCATATAATACTCGACGAGTTCTACACATTGAACGGTTCGGATTATCAAAATGGGACCATGGTGGCCCCACGGGCCCAACAACACGGTCCAGTTTGAATTGGACCAAAGCCACTGCCTTTTTATAAATTGATTTTACACAAATGTGTTTGGTTAACACTTGAAACCAAAATAAATATTAAAAAATGCTTGAGATACCTAATTTGTCACCCGTTAAAAATACTCTCTAATTATGTGTCAGGCAAGCGTCAAATTTTGATTTGTCAAATATTTTATAATGTGGGTCTCACCTCAATGTCACATCATTAAGATTCATTTAGGTGTGGTAAATTAGGGGATGTAGCATTGTTGTAAAAATATTTTATTATCTAAATGAAAAATTTTGATTTAATACATGTCATTTATGGCTTTTTAGTGGGCTAAGATATTTATTTGAAAATGCTAAAGGTGTTGAAAAGGTAGGGATTGAAAGTCAACTTTGTAAAAATTGACTTACGCAATTTTTAAAAGTAAGTAATTTTCGGAAAAATGATGCAAAAATATTTTTCTTAAAAAAAGTTTTATTTACTATTTGTTCAACCAAATAATGAAAAATGAGTGAAATATTTTTGACAAAATATTTTAGGTCTAACATAAGCGGAGCCTTAATGTGTACAAGTTCATAGTTTATGGCATTCTTATCATACACAAGTTATGGCGTGTTTGCAGTATGTTGCTACTCTACGAGAACAATTAGAAGAACTAGCCGAAAAGAAAACCCCAGATGGATTACGAAGGTACATTGTGTTTTTTCTTTCATTGCTTAATTTAATTATTTTCCTGCCATGGGATCAATTATGAATTCTTCAAGATTTTTTAGCCTGTATTTGGATCATGAATTTGGGTATCAATATCCTTATAAATTATTAACCTTGATATCTCTAGTTTGACATTGTTAGTTCTATTCTAGCACTAAAGCAAAAGATTAATAATTGCATGAATTAGTGTAAGATTAGTTATCTAATTAAATTAGATAGATAACCATTTATTATGTATTCATTTTATTTTTTTCTTTCATACTTGAAATTATGATCTCCAATCACTCTTAATATTAAAAATTCGTCAATTTCGTTGGATTGAATGTCCGCCATACATGTAATCTATGTTACATGGACTCAGATATGGGTGTCGGGTATGGGTATGTATCTAGAGGTCGGACTCGTTAAACTATAAATTTAAAAGTACGCGGACTCGGTAAAAAAATTTCAGATTTTTATATTTTTAATAAAGTATGTGAGATAAAATGGTGATATATGTAACCTATAGTGTCAAAAAGGCATTTCTAGCAATTATACAACAATATGTACATATAATAATAGTGTTATGTACAATTATATAAGAAGTGTCCATTGAAAAGTATTCGACACATATCCCATACCCTTGTCTGAGTGTCGGGTGTCCGACACGGGTATTTGATTTATTTTGAAGAGTCCGTGTAACATAGCATGTAATCTGGTTAATAAATTTTTTAATCAAACATAGGATTGTGAGTTCATGGACTAACAATCCTAATCCTATGCTATAATTTTACTAATCGAACATGCCCTAAAGAAACATCTCTCTTTGAGTGTCCAAAAAGCTCAAGCCACAAAACAAATCTAAAAGAGGTTTTCAACAGAAAAAGACACTCTGTGACAACCAAAAAAAGAAATACGGTGTGTCACAAATTGTTATAATGGCATCTCTACAATTTCAAGGGTCCTCTAATTGAAATTCAAAAATATTTGAAGGTCTGAAAAATTTAGAGATTGTAGTCCTGGTCAGTTTACAATTGAATTTTTTCTTTTACTTCACCGTCTCTAGTGGAAACCACTTTATGCACAGGGTTTTTAGAAAGGCGTTTTATTTTTAGGCACCATAACATTTGGAAACATATGTACATATGATGATTCTCAAGAACAACAAAATTCTCCTCAATTGTATTAACCATTTCTCAGCCTTTTCAACTTGACAAAATTCTCACCACACCAATTACCTTAAACGATGGCTGGACATGAAAAATTCCAAATGACTTTGGATCTACGTCATCGGAACAAGACTGGAGAGCTGGTTTTGCTTCGTTTGAGGGCCAGACTCACCTTTTTCCAATGGTTTTATTAGTGATAAGATAGATGTGCTTTTAAGCTGATTGCTTCAGTCTCATAAAATTGGACAGGAGCATCTGGCTAGGTCTGTTCTGACCAAGGAGTAAAAACAATGATAAAGGGATGTCAGATGTCTTGCATCCTCAAAGATGTTATGTTAGCATAATTGGTATTTCAGTTCATTTCTTTTTTTTTCAAACTTTATAAAGGGTTGATATAGATATCAATGCATGATTTAGATTTTAGAGTCATAATCTGCATAATTCTTTATTTCCTGTTGCTTAGTCTACTAATGTTGTTCATGTGTTTGGACTTAGGAATGGTTTGGTTCTAAGCTAATCACTTTGGTAACATTGTGAATCGTCTTTTGGGAATGTTTCTATAGAGTTTCAAAAGTGCAGGTGAATGACTATTCAGAGAAGGTTGAAGCCATTGCTTCCAAATTGGCCATCCCAGTGGTGCGTGTATCCTTCAATTTCATCTGTATAAGAAGTTTTACATGTTAAAATAATATCTAGATTCTTCTACTTTTTAGATGAGTAGATATGTATGAAGATAGGATTATTATTTTTGAAAGCGCATTGTTTTCGTTGGGATTTTAGATTGGTTTGTGTGAAGGATTGCTTTTTTCAAGTGACAACTTAAATTAACAAAGTGATTTTTTAGACTCTTCTAACCTAGGTGTCAAAGTATTTTCGTCTGAAAAAATTTATGAATTGTAAATATTTGCTGATTACTGTATGTGAAAGAGTTAGTGATTCATCCAGGAAATTTGGACCTTTAGGTGTTGGACAGTCAGGTATTTTCAACTGAAAAAATTTGTAATGGTATTGTACTGTTGGCTATATGTTAGATGTGGATCCATTGAAGGGTCTTACCACTGAAAGAAAAATTTAAAGGAATGCCCATGCCCTTACTACTTAGATTTGGGTGGTACCCGATTGAAATGTAACAAAGAACATATTGCAAATATTGCTAATATGTGAGACGAAGATGATCAACCAGTAAGATTGTAATACTCCACAAAAACTAGCCATTAGCAACTGGGTGTTCATGTTGATGTCAGGAGTTTTCTACTTTTCTTAAGACATCTTACCTCATTAGATTGTAAAATTAAGTTGTAGATGCATAATCATGGGTTTTACAAGTGCAAACAACTTATCTCTCAGCGTGGAAAATCTAATGAGAGAGGAAAGCAGAGTAAGTATCGCATTATATTCGAAACTTCCTAGGTGCAAACAATCTCTTGGGGCCAATCTTTAATCGGGATAGAATTGGTCTCCCGGATTAGTCGGTCCAATGGGGCGGACACCAAGTTATCAAAAAAAAAAAAAAAGGTATTGCATTATATTAAAATTGCAATGAGCAAATATTGCAGTATATCAAATAAAAATTTGCATTTTCCAAACTGGAGGAATTGTGCATTCACAATATTATGATTGTTTCTGCACTTGTCAGTTCCAGTTCTTGGTTTCACTGACCTACTTTCAGTCTTCCACAAGTAGAATCTGTGCAGTTGCTGCTTCTGTTTTCTTTAGTGTTTTGTTCCCATCTTCTACCTGGCATGTTATCTTTTATGTGCAGAGTGCAGACTGTTGATTCTCTCTCTCCCTCTCTCTCTCTCTCTCTAATATTTTTCTGTTGAATTGTTCAGTGATTATGTGAAGCTTACATCAGAATAATTTTGTCTCCATTGAGTGTTTAGATGTAATATTTAATTTAAGATCAAGCTTTATGAAACTGTTTCATTGCTTTGACTGAGTTAGAAATACATCCATCTTATATGGGTTCTACTTCTAACCGGCTATTCTGTTGGAAAACTTCCATTTCAGTTAACTATGCAAGAATCTCAGAAGCCTTTTGCTGTAACTTCTGTCGAAGAAGGCCCTTCTAAAACCTGTGGCGAAAGTCCAATTCTTCCTTCTCCTAAATTGAGGAGGAGATTTATGTAAGAAACTACACTTTCTATTCTACTACTTATTTGGTGATATCTGTTTGATCATTTTTTGTTTCATTACTAAATTAAACAGGCCCCAATCAAACATTGAAGATAAAGCTCATAATAGTGTTGAGACTCATCAGTCAGCTTCTGTCAAATTGGATGCTGTGGAACAGATTCATATTGAAAAGCACAGGTACTTCCCGCATTTAGACACATTGTTGAGGTACTAGAGCACAAGAAGACAGTGAGAACAAGAGTTTGTGATGATTTATTTTAAAACACTTCTTTAAGATCCTGATGCGTGTTTACATAGTGGTTACTTAAAACTTCCATTACTGTATCTTTGTTTTAGCCCAACTAACCTCTTCTTGATAAGACACAATGAATTATTTTTTCTTACAAATGTGGACTGATTTAAAGTGAAGGTCTCATGTAACCAAAGTAAAAAAATAAATAAAGGTCCTGTATGTATTTACCTATCCATTAATTATTTGGTCCCTTGCATTACATATTGCCCGTTACACTCATATCACCGCATCTTATCCTTACCCCGCTCATCCAAGGTCTGAACTGTGAAAGGACACTAGTTATCCACAATTTAATGCATTCTAAGGGAGAAGAACTTTGAACTTAAAAAAAAGGAAAAAAAACCTTGCATCCTAGTTGAACTCGACCACATGATTTATTTGCATTACCAAATACCTCTGACAGAAATGTAGATAACTAAAAGGAACTAAAATTAAGAATGAAGTAAGGATGATTTTCATTGTTAATTAGAAAAGGTCATGTTTTTAATAGAAATGACTGAAAATTCTACGAAGACCCTATGGTGGTTTATTTTGGAGTATTACTGGTGGGAATATCGATGATCGATTTCTTACCAAAAGAGATATTGGTGGCTTACAAACATAGCTGTTGGTTTGAATTTTCAACTTAAGAATATGACTGCATCACTAGGTCACTAGTTCATTAAGCTAGTTTGTTTGTGTGATTGGGCTTCAACTTTTTACTCCAAATACTTGATTTGAGATTTTCAAAAGCTACTCAGCAGTTGCCCATCAACCCAATTGAGTGTCAGGAGGGTATGTTTAACTGCAGATACTTTTTTGTTGCTACTTCTCATTGCCTTTGCTGCCTTTAACTTTTAACAGAAAGCTTCAGGATGACTTGACAGATGAAATGGCTGGGTTGGCGCAGCAACTTAAAGAGAGCAGTCTCATGATGAATCAATCCATCAAAAATACTGAGAAGGTAAGTTCCCAGAATTTGTCATGCAGTTTTAATTTACTAGTTGTCTTGAGGTATCTGATGCAATTGATCTGATTTGTGTTTCAGCTGGTTTGACATTTGGGTATTAATTTACAACATCTATGACAATTTTACGTTATATAGATGTCAGTAACTGTGTATTACAAGAACATTTTGAAATTTAAACTATTTGACTAGAAGTGAAAATGCATCTTTTAATCATGGGGCTGAGACGAGTCACTTACTCAAGTCATTTGTAATTTTTACTCCACCTTGTCTTCCTTAAAATTCCATGCTAATGACTAGAACATATAATGTTGTTTGATTAGTACATATGCATTTACATTCTATAAACATATAGTATTTCTACCATTCTGAGAAGCTGGTAAATTGCGTTTACTTTATTTGTCTTCTTCTTCTTCTACTTCATTTTTTCCCCCCTGCTGATTTACTTAAAATTGTCCTGGTATTTAATTGTGCATCTTTTATCCTATTCCTACAGATTTTAATTTTCACGTTTATTTGACTTTATGACTTTATAACATTAGGTATAATTGTTACGAGGTTGTTACGGTTGAATTGAGGTTTGAAATTGATATTAGGTTGAGCTTTTTGTCAACTTTGAAAATTTTAATTATCATGTAATTGTTAGTCTATATCTTGGCATATCATTAAGTAAACCGCCAGAACCACCAAGGCCACCCAGACAAACACCACCATAACCAATTGCCCAACCATTCCATTGCATATTGTTACGGCTTTCATCACTGAATAAATGCCCCCACCACCACCGCTGCCACTACCACCATCTCTTCCATCTGCAGTGTAGCAAAAGCACAACCACTGCAGCTGTCCCTCCAGTGCTAAGTTAGCACTGCCACCTCATCACTGCACTGCCACAAATACTACCTTCAACTCCAGCTCATTTCACCTCCAACTCAACTAGACCATGTAGGTGCCATCAAAAGTACATTTATCTGCACATTTACCTGCTGTGTGATGCAGTTTTTCCTAGCCCTATTCTCCTCCTAGGTTCCTACTGATTGTGAAAAAAATATTGAAAAATTAATCCATGGCTACCCATCTGATGTCTTTGTTACTGCTTTTGGACGAGGATCCTCATAACTTCAATATTTTAATAATGGATCGGTTGTTTCATTTTTCTCCTTTGAGAGTATTGGATTGTATTATGACATATAATCAACTACTCTCATAGCTCAGTTGTTATTTGAGTGTGGGTACTTGATTCAACAGAGGCGGCCATTGAACATAGCTTGGCAAGCACTGGTTGTGCCAGTACACGTGCTATGGAAATATACTAAGAGTTTTAAGACTGCATGCTTTACATGGCTTGTGATATTTGTAATGACATGTATCTTTATCATGGTAGTACTCGTTATTCGTCTCACTTAATTGTTCTTATGAGGGAATTCTTTTTATTTTCATAATAATATATGCTCATGATTTTTTAAATTTATTTTTGGATATCATAAAAACTTCAATAGTAAATTTTAAAGGGAAGGGGTGTGGCCGGGATTGGAACCTGGAAATTGAGAGGCCTACTTTTGATTGTTTCGGTATATCACATGTTCATCGTTGGAAGTAATTTTGAATGAATTTTAATTGAACCAATCACAATCTCAGCTTGAATAATTTGATTTTTTTCTTTTCAAGTTAGGTTTGAGTCCATCCAAAAAAATTAGGGAGTTTTAAAATGTTTGTAGGCTTGACTAGCTGTATTGTAAGGTGTCAGATAAGGTTTTTATCTAGTCAATATTCAAACTAGAGTGAGCTCAAGTACCTTTCATTGTGTTATCAACTACTTGCACATTTGTGCCTAGTCAACAGAGGAGAAAAAATGTTATTCCTTGTACACACGCACATTATGGGGTATTTTGGAAAGTTAGTGTAAAGTTGACTTTTGACTTTTTATCAAGTTTTTTAGCTTTTTGGAAAGTGATTTGGAAAGTTAGTAAAAAATTAGCTTTTTGCTTATTAGTTTAATATTTATTTATGGTGTCAAATCAAATTAAAATGATCAAAATACCCTTACTTAGCATAAAAAATTTATTTTTTTATTTTTTTGTCATAGGGCCTAATTTGTAATTTTACACCTGTATTTTTGACCATTTCCATGGAGCTTCTATATACACACACTTAATCCCTTCTATACACACACTTAATGATATTTAATTTTATTACAATTTTATCCCTAAGTGAAATTACTATTTTAGACATCAACCAAATTCATTTCAATGCACACATTCAGACTTCACGTTCATCTCAATGCACACATCCGACTTCACGTTGAAGCTGAAGCTTCAACCTTCCTTATTCGTAGCTTCTTCCTCGTTCATTATTGATATGGAGGATTTGTCTTCTGAAAATCAGCAAATAAGTATTTATGAGAAACATAGCGAAGGAAATGCGAGTTTTTTTTTTTTTTTTTTTTTTTTCAGCGTCGTTCGGATAACCAGAGCCGAATTGTGTTATTTGGTTCAGAAATCTACTACTGAAATAATTATTTATTTTCGGAAGTTGTTGTCCGAACAAACTAATAAATTCGAAAGTTGTTGTCTGAAAAAATTATTTAATTTCGGAAGTTATTGTCCGAACAAAGTTAACTTTTACAACATTCAACTTTCGAAAGTTGAAAATAAATTCGGACAACTACTTCCGAATGAAGTAAAATTTTTTTTTTGCAAACTGTATACCAAATTTACAGTTTCGAATTCCCTAATTCTATCCCCAAACAAAGCTATATCATTTTTCAATTCCATGTTAGTATCTATTGAAGCTCAAACAAGTTTTCAAAAGGTCATCTCAAATACAATACGTAGTGATTGATTCATATATGTATAAATTATGTTACAATAATTAAAATTTTAATACATTTTCTCAAATTATTTATCACTCAATAAGAGATTACCACAAATGTAAAAAGAATATACATAAGAAGGGAGAGAAAAAAAAAAGAAAAAAAAGAAAAACACTGTTGGGAAGTTTAAAACCGAAAGTATATATACTGTTCGAAAGTTGAAATCCGAAACAAAAAATTAATTTCGGAACTTGATTGTTGTTTGAATTTAATATATTCGGAAGTTGACTGCCGAAATAATCAAAAAGTTTCGGAAACCTACTGTTGAAATAAATCACCAATTTCGGAATCCTACTTCCGAACAAATGAATTAATTTCGGCAAACCAGTTCCGAACGATTTGTTTACACTCCGTGGGCCTTCGTCCGTTTTCAAAATGATAAAAACAAAACTCTACGTTTTGATTAATTCATTTGTGATTTATTTCAACAGTAGGTTTCCGAAACTTTTTGATTATTTCGGCAGTCAACTTCCGAATATATTAAATTCAAACAACAATCAAGTTCCGAAATTAATTTTTTGTTTCAGATTTCAACTTTCAAATAGTATATATACTTTCGGTTTTAAACTTCCAAACAGTGTTTTTCTTTTTTTTCTTTTTTTTTTCTCCCTTCTTATGTATATTCTTTTTACATTTGTGGTAATCTCTTATTGAGTGAT